AATACAGTTATGCCATCCGTCCGAAGGGAATTAGTCGTGAGACATTTTAATACCATTAGCTCTCGCAGCGGTTTATCTCGAACCAAGCATGCATATGTTCTATGTATGTATGAAGTTCTAGTGCGTCACGTAACCTGCTCACGGATACGAGGCATCGAGGTAAATTGACATAGCTTTGTCTGACAAGCGGTTAGGATTATTAAGCAATTTCTATACGTTTAATTGTGTCGTAAATGAGCGCATATGCCATTGGCGATCTCCTCCGTTCTATCCAATGTAAGGATTCTCCCTATGTTTAAATATGACTTAAAACAAATAGCTTGCTTGTATAATGTGTCAACATATCTCAAATTTTATTCACAAATCTAATCGAATAAATCACGACGAAAAAGATGAAAATCAACTAAAATAACTTGTAGTTTTCGGAAAAATTTTGCAAATGTAAAGAATAGAAAGAAAGATTTTTTTCTCAGCAAAAGATATATATGTATATCAGCAGATTGTGAACTTTGTGCCGTATGTATCATGTTTGTAAAGGCAGTCGTGTAACGAGTGTCAGGGCTCATGGTGATCCCCACGTCACGTGTTTAAACGCGCGTACATCGCACGCATGTCGGGCGCATACGAATGTCACCCGCTGTCATTTCACGAACGTCGAATAAATCATTGCCGGCGAGAGATATTCTCTGTTTGCTTGACGGCCGAATCTCTTGCTTTGAAAGCTTAAAACTTGCTGACTCAACGCTACATATGCGCACCATAATAAATCGATGGTACATGAGACATTTTATTAAAATGTCAAGAAACAACAAAACTAAAGTAACTGCTGTTCAAGAGTAATCCATTTGCCACCAAAACATTCTAATCTCTGAATGTTCCAAAAAAAATTACAAGTTTTTTCAAGAATATGTAATTAAATAAAACATGGTCGCGTCTATCTAGCACAGCGTGTGAAAGATACTTAAAAGATAAATACATGTATGAAACAGAAATGACTAAACTTGTTACAAATAAAATTGACAAGATTTCGAAACACAATAAAAAAGTATACCATAAATCAGACAAAATGTACAAATGTATCTCTTGCATAAATCCAAATGTGTTAAATTTCTCATTGAAATACCTGATTATGGAAACGAACAAAGCTACCTAATTTTAATTCAATTCTATAATTCTAAAATTTTAATTAATGTTACACGTATATTTATAGCGATACTATTAGAAATGCAAAAAATAATTCTTAGGCAAATGGAGCAAAATAAAGGTGCACTTTTCCGAGCATGCATCGTGTAATATGTACTACCATCCGCATAATTATTTCGATCAATCACCAATAGTCGATTTTCTATCCAATAACGTGTACAGAGTTGGAACAGAATAATATAGAATCTGAAATCGCAGGTCACCATTGTGCCCGGCGTCGCTTATGTACATACTTAGGTATGTAGATTGCGCGCCTCAACACGTGCCATTAATGGCTGATGGCTCCGAAACTCTCTCACGCCATTTTCCATCCTTCCGCGCACTCCAATAGAAGGTCAACTTCTTCGACGCGGAGATGACTTTATCGCGCGATAACAATACGTATTACGTAAATTGCATGGCACGCTTTTCCATCTACAGTTTCAGTAGACAACTTTACAAAGTGTTCAATGTAATATACATTTGGATTCTCGCGTATGTAACCAATCTGTAATGTGCCGGTCAGTACTCGATATCCTACGTTCGAAAACATTTCATTTCATGCAATAATATATAACAACATTCGCAAAATCTAACTCGTCTTCAAGTGAGTGAGTTTTAAACCAAGAATTGCTACGAGTGTTGTAATGCGTTCCATCTTTACGGATACTCTTCATTATTAATTGCACGTGTTTGCACGTAACGTGCTAATTTAGATATAATATCATTATGAGCTCACCATTACGTCAATGCGTCATTCCTCATGCTTTAGCGTCTGACGCGAACATCTCTTGATATGCGAACGACTTGTCGACCGAATCCACGTGAGGTTGCACGTCGCACCAATTCATGATCGATGCACTTCTTCACGAATACGTCACGCTTCCGAGCGAGAGACGGCCGGAAATGGGACGCGTTTGGGATGAACGCTATTTCGACGGACTCGTCGTTCACACCACGCGAGATCACGTCCGCCACTCACATTGAGCGATTGCGCTCCTATGAAACGCACGCACTATGTTCGTCGCCGCTTCGATTGTGCATTCCTATACTCGATTTTCGGGATATATAATGAAAAGTCCTGTTTGATCGGAAATTCCGATCAAGAATGATTTACCATTGCCATAACAATCATTTATAATCTTAAATTAATTAAATGAATTTCGCGATATTTTCATACATTCGTATCAGCGATACAAAAGACAGTTAAGTTTCATTCTACCAAGTGTCTAACGTCAGAAACAGAGCGTTTACGCCTCACGTATACGCGCAAATTGCTCGTGCAACGTAAATTTGTCACACCGTACAAGTACTTTTCAATTCTAGGCTGAATTTTAACGAAAGCGAAGAACGTGGCGAAGCCACGCAAGGTAAAGGGTTGTTGGCACAGCCGGCAGGGTGCGATGCACACGACTCTCCAGCGGCAGTTGACGCGACACTAGAGAAAATCGGAGTTCGCTTGCCGCCACAGGACTCCGGACGCCTGCGCTCTCCGTTCGCTTGCCGCCACGAGCCACAGATTTTCGCATAAACAGCGTGTTCGCGGTATTCCGAGAAACAAATGTACCTTCGACAGTTGGAAGTTCCTTAAGCGATTACTACCGAATCTTTCGTTCGAACGGACGGCACAAATTATTCGATCGTCGAAAGTGTTTACCCGATTTATTTTTCAAGCAGCTGTTTGACAAAGCAAACATTCGCCAAAAAAGTTTCTGTTATATATTGGTGACTAGAAATTTATTTGTTTACATCAATAACAGGTTGCAAAAAACAATCAGCAGTTTGAATGCATTTTAGAAAGATGGATAATAAATTTCGCAGCAATATGGCAGATACTTAACAGATACTTTTCGGCGATATCTATGATAGAAGATTATTAACACGTTTTCTCTTTTTGCAAAGGATAGATCAAAAGATAGATCAAGCTTAATTCGCATTCAGCAAATTGTCAGAACTGTATAGTAAATTAAACTAGTGAATGCAATAACTACTTGTAATCCATAAATATTATCCGGCCGTTGACAGTCGGGACAGTTTACATCGGCGAGTATATCATTAGTACGTCGCGGAGGTGATTACGAGCGTCTCGAATAGCTGGCAATAAAAGGAACTTCCGCTTTAATTCGATATAAAGTCGTGCGGCCCATTAAGCCTGGCCGTTCTTCATCACTTTATCGCCAAGGAACCTCATGGGCACATTAGTCGTGCAAACTAAAAAATGCTACAACATGAAAGAAAATAATTGAACATTCGATCCGATCATTTCGTATACAGTAGCAAAAAATTGCACGATCTGTCAGAAAAATAAAATTTTTATAGGAAATGATATAAAAGATTTAGCAATTTAGCAATTCTTCCACTATCCTTACGCATATACATATGTACAAGAAAGAAATATTAAAAGTTATGTAAAATTATGTAAAAATTGATATTTTACGGTGTTCGCGAGGCTTAAATTAAAGCTTGCCGGTCAAAGACATATAAAGAACTATTACATATTGTTTAAATCAATATTTATTACGTTTATTAACCTTTGGTAAATTGTTAAAGTTTAATAAAAATTTATAAAAATGGATTACTGGCAATTGAAATTTTATACAAAGACAAATATTCGTAAATTTTAAAAAGTACCACTTGTATTATTCGTAGAGTTGCTTAATTTGAATACGAATCAAAAAACTAAAATTTAAAATGTCTAATCTAATATAGCAAAGACAAAAATTGCTCGGCTTTTATCAAATTTAGCGAGTTTTGAAAAAATAATTCATTTAACGAAAAAATCGTTGCGGCAATCGAGATAAATATTCTTCTCGAATAAACACTCCGCTAAATGTATCTCTGTACTAAATATACAACAATAGATTACAGAAAGAGAAATGGCGAAATTGCGCTTAAACAAAGATATAACATAGTACTTTACTTATTCCGCTAATGTGCTAATGAATATGCACCGTTGAGAAGAAACTCTTAAGAAGGGGAAACGAGATGTAATGATGGCGTTTGAAAAATGAATGAAATGAAATTCTCATGGAAACGCTTTTATACGTCCATTTGCATCAGAAGCGTTTCTCCATCATCAATTATAACTGAAGAGCAGAGAGATTCCAATATTTCCTTAGCCGTCCAATACACGTCTTAATGCCAAACTGTCCCAAGAGCTGAGATCTTTTCCGCTTTTGATGTACATTACTTATCCGGGGAACAATTCTCGTGGAAGAATGCACTCTAATTATAACTACAAAACGATGTAAATGTTCTCCTATATTACGTATACGAAATCAGCGACAAGAAATTCTATAGAATAATTCATTTATTGAACATCAATAAAATAATCTCAAATTATACTCTGATGTGATAATAAACTTAGCCGTGTATTCGACGTATTTCGAGAAGTCACACTCTCTCCAAATCTCAGTCAATCGCGCGAATTCCTTTCGAGATAATAAAACAATACAATTCACAGCGATTTCAACATTTTTATAGATCGTGAGGTAAGTACGAACAACACGAATCGTATCTTACGCTAAGCGCGAGTTAAAGATCTGGTGGATGTTCCGGTAGACGATCCTTGATCTCACGTAAAACCTCCAAGATGCGTGTCTTATACGCCGGCAACTTTTCGCACTGATAAAGCACAAGTTCCGGTCGTTCGTCTCCGTACAAGACCTGCTCGAGTCTGTCAGTCGCGTCGCAAAAATAATCCATGGTCGCTTCGCTGGACAACAGCATTATTTGCAAATTGTGCGCGGCATAAACGAGCGCTATGTTCCGCGCCTCCGTGTAACTTTTCTGGAATATCGTCCAGGGTAAATGGTCTTCCACGTCGAAACCCTCCTCCGTCAGATACCGTGCTAATGAATTGTGATAGATTCTGGCGAAAGAGTGAAAATTGTGATCTCTGGTAGCTCGATCGGTGGTCAGATATAGGCAGCATGCGAAATCAATCGCTGGAGGACAATAACATAGAAACTGAAAATCTATAATATAACAACCATTCGGATTGCCGGTCGAATCGTGCCGAAACATTATATTATTCGCCCAGGTGTCGCGGTGACAGATGACGTTTCTGTATTCGCTCGACGGTGCTAATAATCGCGATATTCCTCGAGACCATTCGACGATCCGGCGCTTGACGACACCCTTTCCGTTATCGTCGAGCTCCTCGATCAGCTCGATCATAGCGCAGACACCTCTAATACTGGAGGCGAGGGCCCTCTCCGATCTGTCGTCCCCCGAGGCAAAAAGCACCTCGTTCAGCAGGTGTCCGTAAAGATCGAAAATAGTCCGGGCGCCCTTCCGACGCAGTCTCTCGTCCAGTATCAGAGACCTCGAGTGAAATTTTGCAAGAGTTCTCAATAGCCAAACGCAATGCTCCTCGTCGAACGGCACATACTTGTCCAGTGTGGCGTAGCCGTCTATCGACACGTCCTCCAAAACGATGATGGCGTTTCGTTTGCCGAGATAACACTCCACCATCCATCGCGGGGATTCAGCAGCCTCTCGGGAATCAGCGTTCATCCGCCGCATCAGATCCGTATAAACGGTAATCTCTTTGTTGAATGTGTCGTACCGTTGCAGAAACTCGTACTGCGGACTGTGAGCCGGCGGTGGAGTCTTGGCGAACAACTGCAAACTTTCTGTCTTGCCGTCCACTCGCACCGTAATGCAGAGACGATAATATTGGCCGAGGAAACCTTTCGTCTGGCTGAGAGATTCCAATCTCCAGTCGACAAGTCGGAAGTTGTCACTGCCGAGTTTGCGCTCCAATATTTTATTAATGTCGCAATCGGTCAAAAGAGACATTTCTTGACGATTCTGTGGAGAATTCGGTAACACCGAGCACGTCTTTTCCACATTTATCGCCGCCATGTCGCATCCGTTCGTCCGGTAGTCGCGTCAAGTCTTGCGCGTCGCTACACTCGTACTCAATTTATACGCATGCACCACGTTTTATACCACGTTTTATACGCACGCATCGCGTTAACACGCCGAAACTCGCGTGCAAAAGGTAGGGACGCTTCGATAAGCTTGGCGAATGATAGCGGAATATTTACTTAACTATTTCCGAATCTGTTGGTTCTAAGTAGATAGCTCGGCAAAATGACAAGCACTGACAAATATCTCAAGCGGACTAATGCAATTCATGGCGTACCGTAAATCTGTCCGATATACTTTAGCAATGTGACGAGGAAACGAATCTTGTGATATACGCCATCTCTGAGAAAAAAAGAGTCATGTATCGCGATAGCGCGTCTGCGTACCGGAAATTTACTGGCGCAGCCATCGTACCGAGAGCGCGGTCGGCTCGAGAAAAATGTTGTGGGATGAAGCTGGAATACTTGCGGCTTGCAGTATTTATCTTGGGAGTATATATACTACGAGGATGAGAACAGTTGTTACGGTAATTATCGGTTTGTGGATTTTGCGGAAATAGGCGAATTTAGAATCGCCGAGATATTGTATTATATATCGCGATGATAGTAATCGCGACTCATTCGACTCATTAAACGAATGTTAAATTACAGTTTCTTAAACATCGAAAACGAAACTTTATCACACGTATGCGCGCATACTATTGTTCGCAATTAACCCGTGCGAAACCTACGCGACCACTAATTAACATCAACGACGCGCCAACTAAACAGGTTTGGGAAAATAGATCTGTTAATGTTAATTGCGCGTACGTTATACAATCTACTAAAGCACTACTCCGCTTAATAAAATCACACAGAGTCCAATTTCATCGCCATTTCATCGGTGGTATACGCGTAGCGAACATACTTACGCCGTGACAGACAGAAGGGAGAAAGAGAGAAATCGTTAAAGTCCGTCGGGTTATAAAACAATTGGAGAGAGAAACTTAGCGACCCTCGTAACTGTCAAAATTTATTCGCTCTTACCGTGAACGCATCTAACTTCTCGGAAGCAACTATTAATGGGGTCACACTCTATATAGCCCTTTCGGCTTCGTTACTTTACGATACCAAGGTAATTCGATTAACTGCGTTCTGAAGTCGGCCATGGAGACGAACTCGCTAATATATCAATGCACAACGATAGAGTAACCATTTTAAATTACTTCTAATAAGATTTTTGCCGCAGCGTTCGCCTATCATAAAGTTCAAGTGTTTTGCTCGGTTTTGTAGCGAAGCGAAAAAGTCGCTCACAAATCATCCTTTTCAGCATGCGAAAACATGTATATAAAAACTATAATTAAACTTTTTTGTGATTTAAGAAACTGTTGCGATAGCAAAAAAATATTAAACAATCTCCAAATATCATAGTGCTTTGTAAAGCTTTCTAACGTTGTTAAAAGATAAAATTTGATTCGGTCTGTATCTTGCCGAAAAAATGTGTATTGCACCACATAAATAAATACCGACAAAAGAGAGAACGTCACGGAGGAGTGTTTAATTGCTGGTCGTCACGTAGTGCCGCCAACGAGAATGTCGTCAACATTTTCCTTTTTCTGCGCGAATGAGAACGGTCACGTAGAGCCCAGCAAAAGTGGAATTCTCATTAATTGACGTGGTACTAATTAGACTTTTAATTAACGAGTCGGAAATAAACAACAATTTACGAACAGATGTCGCATTGCTCGTATCTCTAACGATTTAACTACCGACAGCAAGAGTCGTGTCGACGCCCATTAATGCACATAAATTTGCACACAGTCTTCAGTAGTGATTAGCAATTCGTGGAGAATCGTGACGCGTACGCCACATTTCTGTCTTAATACTTTAATGGCTGACATGGTTTACTTCGTAAAACAAAGTCTCCCCTCAAACGACCCAAATCGTATTCTTTTCCAAATATATCAGAATAACATGCGCCTTCGTGTGTAAAAAAGACATGACCAATACGTGACAGCTCTCTGCATTCATATTCAGTCATAAATTTAAGATTCCGCGTTGCCTCCGGTCTTATACCTCCGTTTGGACAAAGTCCCGTGAGCCTTACATCACTCTAACGATGTAACAGTCTATTATTTATTCGATTGCGCGACCTTCATCGTCTTTTCTTGTACGCGAATTTATAACCGCACTATCCAAGGAATGCCTACTTTGAAATATGCAAGAACCATCTCAGACAATTGACCTTGCCAGATAATATGTTACATTTTCGGTATAATCCCTCGATAAATATTTAAATTCCGCCACTATTACTAAAAAAATGCATTTTTTATGATGAATTACTTACCGTATTGTTGCTCTGCTGTTGCCCGGTACCTCCTAGGCCTCCGCCTCCTCCTTCTCCTCCTCCTCCTCCCCCTCCTCTTCCTCCTCCTCCATCTCCTCCTCCTCCTCAAAACGGTCTTTCGAGGCACTGACACTCACACGCGTTCGCGGTGCACGCATTGCTCGCGCGCGTACTCGAATGCGAAAATCGCACGACACTTTCACACAAACGGCATTCCCGACACGCATTTTGTTATATTATAGCGGAACGAATATATTTTGTAGCACTGATTACGCGCACAAACTTTATCTGTAAAGTATAAATACATATTTACATTACAATGACATCCGAGAGGAACAGTACTATAGTTATGCTATAAACGGCGGTAAAGAAAAATTTATTTTCTGAGAAACGTTGCCGGGGCTAAACTCGGCACTTTCCGAGTCTTGAGTTTCAAGGATCTCGTGACGTTACGCATGAAACTCTATGTCGAGTCGAGGGCGAAAATTTATACGTGTCTGTAGACGCGCACTCTCTCGCTGTGGCATTTCCTTTTGAGTATTCGGAAGTGAAGCAATCCCGGTATCAGCCTCGCTTTCACGATGTCAGAGAAAACAGAAACGCCTAGGGATGCGGGAGATGTCCACGAATTGCTTTGAAAAATGTGAGATAGAACCACTTTTGATGAAAGACAAGAAAAATGCATTCGAATATTAAGTTATTAAAAAGTGTCAAAATCATAAGACGCTTATAACTTAGATGTAAAACAATTTAAAGCGCATTGTTAAAAATATACCGCTTTCAAAGATCTATCAATATCAACTGTAATAAGAATACTTGTAAACTTGAATATTTTGCCCGTGAAACATAAAGAGATATTGACCGTGAATAAGGTAGCTACGTAAACTAGCCGATCGATGTGTCTCTAAAAGTAACTTTATACGACTAAGTCTCTAAGAGAGTAACTTTATATGACGATATCCACACTTCATTTTTATGTATATAAGAATATCCCCCTTTTACTGATTTATCCGAGAAATAAATCCACCGTTCATAATTTTCTGCCACGCTCAAATGTGATAATAAAAGAGGCTACAAGTATTTTGCTCAATAAAAATTAATAGTTTTACGATATGCGATGTAATAAAATAGCATTGATAGCTATTTAATTGCAATATTAAATTTTAAATGTAAGAATATACCGATAAGATGTAACATTTACAAAAATAAAATGACTAAAAATATGAACAGATATGTACTTGAATAAATCTCAAAACAATTTTGTTATGCATTTCGTTATGCATTCTCGAAAGATTGAAAAGGTTCAATTTCAGTTCGATTTCAATAGTATAAAACTTGCATGCTTCTCTTGTGTCAAGGTAAAAAAATATTATGCGTGTACATATTGTACCGCAACAACAATAATTCAATTAATCAAAAGCGCTGTATGTTGTGGACTATAAATCGAGAGCATGGTTTACGACACCATACTTCCACTTTATCCCCATTCTACTCTCGGACAAATCCTCACATTGTCAATATTGTTACACGCTTATCCAATGTTTGAAAACGCAACACAGCACGTTAATATTAATTAGCAATTGCGTTAGCATTCTCTATCCTACATGTCAATTTTTTATTCGTCAAATACTTATTATTTACCGTGTCAAAACTCGCTCACTAATTCAAGCGCTGTCAGAACTAACAGCGTATAAGAAATTCTAAAAAAAACTATAAAATAGATATTTCGTAAACTTTTAAATATGAAAAACAAATCTAATTGCAACGCTCAGAGAACATCAACTAGATGCTATCAATTCGATAATAGCGTTTGTAAAGAAAAAAAGTATTAGCAAAAAAACAGAACCAAGCATTTTATAAAGCTATATCTGGAACATAAATTTTCTAGTTATTGATTTTTCACCTACAATTTGTTTTTAGAAATAAAAATTTGACGCGAAAATTTTGTAAAACGCTTCATAAAGCAAAGATGTTCAATCTAAGCAAGCTTCTTGCTCCATTTTATTGAACGTTAAGTTAAGATTGTTCCGACTATAGAAATCCCTGGCTTTGGTCGATCGAGCAAATTTCGTGTCGGGATAATCGATTTGGACTCTATTCGGTCGACTCTATTCGGTCGACCGTACCAGTGATTAGCAGTCATTGGCACGACGTGACGTTTGTTCTCCTCGTGTATCTCCACCCAAATGAGACTCGGGTCCGTGCGATCACATCGCGGTTTCGAAGGGAGTTACATCGTGTAAACGATCATACGTAGATCTCGCATCAGCGATTCTCCTCTCCTGCTTGCTATTACCGTAGCTTATTGTCGAGTATCACTTGATTCACGGTTTCCCCTTAAATTTATTATCTTGCCAAGAAATATCCGCGTTCATTTACTTTATGCACATGGTGCATTTTTTAGAGTTTTAATATTCAATTGTTTCAAAAAATGTGATTTTAATAAATAGATCTATCTAATATAAATTTATTCTATTATGTTCCATAAAACATTCAGCAAATCAACCGAGCAAACACTAACCAACAATAACATCAATGTTATAATTTTCCACTCAACAATATAATACTTACATACAAGACATGTTATATTGCAGTGATGTTGTTGAGTGGAAAATTATAACATTGATGTCATGTTATTGTAGGTTAGTGTTTGCTGAAAATATACAATAACTGAAAACAATATATATGTCCTCTCAGATACTTTCTTTAAATAAATATAAGTATATTGGAAAAAGATAAAAGATAAGATAAAAAGTTAAAAAATTAATCTCACCATATCGAAATATTTGATTTTGTTTCGGATCCAAATCCATAACAAACTCGATGCGATACATATTACAACATGCAGCGATGATTTGCACTCGAACATACAGTGATAGTTTCCAAAATGCGCTGTACAATTAATTAATTTTAAGTATAGTGTCGTACATTCTTGGCGAAATAAACGCGAAACATAAAACACGCACAAATCTCGATCGAAACCTAAATTTAGCCTAACTTGCTACAGTTTTCGCGTTTCTTTTGCTCTGATTAGACCGGAGGATGATCCTACTTGTGGCTTAGCTGAGTGCATAGGTTGACAGGTTAAAATTATATTAAAGTTGACTTCCAATCGTATTAACCATATCAAATAATTATTTTTATTCAATTAAATCGATTCGGTCGGTCTGTCAAACTATGCACTCGAATGAGCCACAAGTAGGATCATCCTTCGGTCTAGTTAGAGCATTTGAAAGAAATGTATCGATAGGCAGGAAGCGCTATCTAACGAGCAGCAAGTGCGAAATGTGGCAATTAGTTCAAAGAATTTTTGTGAGATGGCGGTACTAGTATGTTTCTGCATCAAGTCTAATGTAGTGAATGATGTATAAAATCCCCCAAGTAGCAAATGATCATCATCTGACGTCTTTTTATTGTCTTAATTACTAATCATGATTACGTCCTAATTGGTTATTATGACAATAAAATAACGTTAGATAATGATCGTTTGCTAATTGGGATGTTTATGTATATGTATATCTGTATGTAAAATAATGGTCAAAATTTCCGTCACCGTTTAAAAAAAAACAGATTCTATTATTATCATTGTAAACTTCAAAATTTTAAATTGATATTGTTAATCATATTCGTTTACACGATAATACAGAATTTTATATTTCTTACTCATTCTTCTAATGATATAGAAAACTTTATAGTTATCCATCCAAGCAGCATAAACATATCGCATCTTCTCCTGTGCAAAAGATAAAATTAAAAAAAATGTAATTTATATCTCTCCAAACAGATCAAAGAAAGAAGTAAACGTGAACAAGAAAGTTAAAAACTATTTTTTGTGCTAATTTCATTTTTTTATACAATAATTATAACCTATTATAATTTTCCTACTTAAAAATATAAAATGCTTCTTACATCAGCTCTGCAATGTCATTTTGCAGACAAGTTCCGTGGATACATATCACACGTTTTAAACTCTTATCGCGAAAGGACAAGATACACGTTTGGATCACGAGGATGCAATGTACCTTTTTCGCTCGTTTGTTCTTCTCGCTTCCAAGTAAAATGGTACCCCACGTAACACATCTACGCGCACTCTACGCGGTCCACAGTTGTGCCAACCTACACTTACGAATCCCTCGCGCTTCGCTTACAACAACCGTTATTTATTCGATTGAATTTTCTATCTTGTACAGTGTCGTTTTAATTAATTATTAATTTAATTTGTTTAACTACATTTTCTTAGAATATTATTGATTTTTCTAGATTATATATAATTATCAATTATATTGATAAATTCTTAAATATAATTATATAAAAAATATGCTTTTAAAATCACGAAAAGTAGAGAAAGCAAACATTTGCATAAAATAGAATGTAAAATATTTAAGATAAATCTTTTTTAAAATCTTATATTTTGTATAAAAATAATTTACTACAAAAATCAAACTAATTAATTTTATTATTTTGTATTAAAAAACTTTTGTATATCTGCAATTAGTAATGTAGCAATTCCGTAATGTTTCCGAGTCAATTAATTCTTCTCGAAATTGGAGACTTGGAAACATTGAAAAATTTTATCCTTCTATTCTTGATATATTTAAAAGATATATTGTTCTTTCACCAGTTTACCGTACAGAATTGCGTCTTCACGAAAGAAACGTCTTGTCTCTACACCAAAAACTAATCAGTAATTAATAATTGTCGCATTCTTTTTGTTAAAATAAAATCTGCTATCAACGTCAATACGTTATGCTTATAATGACTTGTAATTGACTCAACGAAAAATAAGAGATAACTGAAGGATTATGAAAAGATTCTTTACAATCAGCAAGTTATCATTATTTTGTTCCCTTTTCCTTGTTAAAATAAACTATCTGAATGGGAAATTTATTTTAAGTTTTATGTGAATAAACTATTTTATAAAAATCTTTTTTGACAGGTAATTAAAACAGTCTCTATATCCTTAAATAGCATCCTGTTTATTAATATTTTTATAATATGTAAAGAATGTTATTCGCCTCATTGTTGAGCCTGGCACTCGTGAACGTGGCGATCGTGTCTCTTAATGCACAATGGATTTTTCAGAAAAATTACAGAATAAATAAATTTTTCAAAAAAATTGTATTTTGTGGAGCGATTAAAGCAATAGAAAAAATGCAATTGATAGCTAAAATCAGTCTTGCGAAATCTATTAGTAGAAGCATCTTTTGCTTGATAAAATTACAACAAGAGCTTTGATATTCAATTAAGGCGCATTTGCTTAATTTACGTGTACAGCGGCTGTTCTTTTTGTCACGTTCGTTACGTCGCCAACGTGCATCGGAACGAGATCTAATCAAGCCAAACTGAATGCGCGGTGCGGTTAATTATCTAATGAAATTAGTATGAGCAATTATCGGAATTGTGCGGAACCGGCGAAATTCCTGACCTAGTCACGTTTCATCGTCCGCTAACTCTCGCTTTTAAATTAATTTGTAATATTTTTTTATGATAACTAATGTCCGAAGCCGTTGGAATTGTGAGAATTGATAACATTCGTATACAACGTTGAAAGAAAGTTTCGTTCAGTTTGCGACTGAAATAGGTGATGACTTTTGTAAAATCCCTTTCTGCTTTAATCGAATACTTACTTTATTCGATTTCGATAAAACATAGAAGAAGAAGAAAAGGAAGAAAGATAAAAGGGAGAGAAAGAGAGAGTAGGCTGGGGAATAGCCGTTTTACGTCGAAAATCTTCCGCATTTATCTCTAACCACCGGAGGAGGAACCTCGACCGAGAAATCGTATCACTGTGCGAATCGTGTGAAATCCTCTCAAAAATCTCAATCAGATAGAACTTGGAAGAGAACAAAGGTACATTTTCGTAGAAATCTTGTGTTATACTAGAACTGGTGGCTGTATTCCCTACGGGATAGAATGAGTGTGAGCCACATTACCAAGAGTCTGTCAGAAAATATGGTCTGATCTAAGCTCGCGATAATACAAATTAGGAAAAGAAGATTCAATAAACTTGAATGTATTTTTGTCGCGGTTGAACAAGTCGTAGTGGCAGATGGAGCAATCGAGATTTGTCTATGCTGAACAAGGGTTGCTAGAGGTGAATAAGTCGAAGCAGGAGTATACATAGAGTTCATACAACAGACGAGCTAGAGCTTAATCAGGTTCTACTAGTTGGCAGGTGCAAGCATCACGCTCGCAGAAATGAGCAGAAACGAATGGTCTCTCCAAGAAATACGTATATATTTCTACTACCTTGTATCTAATACCCATAAGTCGAAACCAATAGCAAAGATGTAGGAAAGTGTAGAAAATGCAACTACTATAACTGTTCTGTAATCAAAGATATTGCAAAGATTATTAACATTGTATTATGTAGTGTAAGAAAGAAATCGATTCTTAATTCGAATCGGTCTTTAGAATTTTATTGATATATATGCAAATTTTCCTAAAAAATTCTGCTGGCACCAATTGATATTTTAGACTCACGTAAGCAAACTAATCTTTTACTGTTATGCCAGACTCCGCACATTTTTGCCGCGTCTGTCGACTGCGCCTATATTTACCGTGGTTCACGTTCCAAGAGAGGCGTCTCTTTCTTTTCTCTCTCTATCTCTCTGTTTCTCTCGTGAAAGTAGTGACCCCGCGCAATAGCGCGTAGACTCGGGGTCCTCGTTACGATCGGCCTGTACGACCGACGTCGAATCGCCGAGGCGTTCGTGTTAATGGCGACGTGTCTCTCCAGTATACCGTTAAAGCCGCCGCAAATGCCCACTGAACCTAATTAATGGTGCGTTCGCGTTACGCCGGATACCACCACTACGCCTATAAGTGACCGGCCATTCAAGAGGATGGCACTCTGAAGCTCGCATTCGCGCGCACGTGCTACCGCTCAACATCCGTCTTACTGGCTGTCATGCCATTACCCATTGCACTTCAACTACTTAGTAGATAGGCACGGCCGTGAATAGATAGGTAGTAGACAGCTGGCACGTGCGAGCGACCAGACCATTCATGCGCCCGTATGTATACACACGTATAATTATCTCCCCTTCTTAATTATCTCCCCTTCGGGTCCGAGAAATCTCGCTTGCTCGCTTTCAGGTACTCGTCGCGCCGCGATGATCGTTTTTCTCGCGGAAACTGTTCATCCGTAACGTTTGTGAGCGATGTAATCGAACCTACGATCCTTTGATTTGCAAATAACATGCCGTACGGCATGCAATC